ATGAGATGTAGCTAAAGCAGTTGCTTTTAGGGAACTTTATAGCTGCAAATGCCTATTAAAAATGAAGCTCTCAATCCAATAACCTAACATTCCACCTAAATAAAATGGAAAAAAAGCAAACTAAACCCAAAAAAAGAAGGAAATAATAAGGACTATACAGAGATTAATTAAACAGAGAATAGAAAACCAATATAGGAAATCAACAAAAGCAAATGTTCTTGAAAGAACACCAAAATTGACAAATCTTTAGGGAGACTGACCAGAAAAGAAGAGAGAGGACTCGAATTACTAAAATCAGAATAAAAGAGGGGATATTACCATGGGTGCTGCAGAAATTCTGAAACCCATTAAAAAGAAACAGAAAGCCTTAGAAGACTTATAACAAATAACAAGATTAAATCAATAATCAAAACCTCCTACAAAAATAACCCTGGGATCGAATGGCTTCAAGGGTAAACTCTATGAAACATTTAAAGAAGAATTAACATCAATCCTTTAAAAACTCTTCCAAAAATTGGAGTGAAAGGAACACTTCCCAATTCAGTCTATAAGTCCAGTATTACCACAATTATCAACATTAGCAACATCATAAGAAATGAAATCTATGGACCAGTATCTCTTATGAATATAGTTGCACAAATACTCAACAAAATACTAGCAAACTGATTTTAGAAGCATATAAAAAGGATCATAAACCATGGCTAAATGGGATTTACCACAGGAACACAATGAATGTAAAAGAATAAAAAACAAAAAATCATGTTGTCATCTCAATAAACAAAGAAAAAAACATTTGGTAAAATACAGTACCTTCTCATGATAAAAGTCAATGAACTAGGAGTAGAAGAGAATTTCTCCAACCTAATGAAGATTATCTACAAAAAACCCATACTTAACATCATACTTAGTGAGGAAAGACTGAATAGTATCTCTCTAAGATCATGAACAACACAGGAATGTCCACTTTTGCCACTTCCACACTGCACTGGAGATTCTAATCAGGGCAGTTAGACAAGAAAAAGAAATAAATGGCACCCAGTTTAAAGGAATAAGGAAAACTGTCTCTCTTTGCAGGTAACATGATCTTGTGTCTAGAAAATCCTGAGAAATTTGCAAAAAAATTACAACAAATAAATGAGTTCAGCAAGGTTAAAGGATACAAGATTAATGCACAAAAATCAGGTGTATTTCGGGGCACTTGGGTGGCTCAGTCAGTTAAGTGTCTGCCTTCAGCTCAGGTCATGATCCCAGGGTCCTGGGATCGAGCCCTGCATCCGGCTCCTTGCTCAGCAGGGAACTGCTTCTTCCTCTCCTCACCGCTCATGCTCTCTGTTATCTCTCTCTCAAATAATAAAAAAAATCTTTAAAAAAATAAATCAGGTGTATTTCTATACACTTGTAATGAACAATGTGAAAAGGAAATTAGGAAAATTTAAATACTTAGGAATAAATCTGATAAAAAAAGCATACGACTTGTACACTGAAAACTACAAATATTATTGAAGGAAATTAAGGAAGAATAAGCTATAAAGTGTTAGAGAGTTATGGATCAGAGTAGGACTACTTTATCCCCAGAACACTGAAGAGATTTAGGATTTTGAAGCAAGGAGCTAAAAACTGGAGGTGGGGGTATAATTATGCATCCGGAGCAAGTTAATCTATACCTTCTCCCTCTTCATCTTTTTTTTTTTTTTTTAAAGATTTTATCCATCTATTCATGAAAGACAGAGAGACAGAGAGAGACAGACAGGCAGAGGGAGAAGCAGGCTCCCAAGGAGCAGGGAGCCCGAGACGGGACTTGATCCCAGGACCCTGGGATCACGATCCGAGCCGAAGGCAGACGCCCAACCATCTGAGCCACCCAGGCGCCCTCCCTCTTCATCTTGTTAGAGAACAGACTCAGCAGGGGGGATACCTGAAAACTCTTCTCTGGAAAATTTAACGGCTCCCCCCAAAAATATTTTATGCCAACTTTTTGGCTCCTCCAACAAAACAGCTGTCTCCTTGCCCATCTCATAAAATAAAGTTCAGCCAGTTGCCAAGACCTACTCAAGTACACGGGGCTTCCAACCAGTTTTAACACTTAATTAGGGATGTACAGCCAAGGATCAGTACATAAAAGAAAAAAATCCTCTAGCATAAAAGGGAAAACACAAACATACCATAAACAGAAAAAGTAATTAACCCAGAGGAAAGCAGAGGTAATTCAGCTATAGATAAAACCGAAAAAAAACCCCAAAAACATATTTACTATTCTTGGAGATACATAAAATATAGCCCCCATAAACAAACAGAAAAAAACTGGAAAATAAGATTACTCATGGTAAAACACTGATGGAAGAGAAAATAGAGAACTCAATGTAATCTTTTAAAGAGTAGAATAAAAAGATAAAGGAATAGACAACATGATTAAAAGAGAGAGAAAGAGAGAGAGAGAGAGAGAGAGAGAGAGAGAGAGAGAGACACTGAGAAGATGAATCCAGGATGCTCAATATCCAGCCAACAGAGATTCTAGAAAAAGTGAACAGAGAACATGGAGAAATCATCCAAGAAATAATAATTTTCCAGGATTGAGGGACAATGAATCTCTAGTCCGAAGAGCCCACTGATCATCAGCACAATGAATAAAAAAAGATGTACATGAAGGCACATCATTATTAAATTTCAAAATACTGAAAAACAACAAAATGAAAGAAACAAAAGACGCTGAATTTCTGTGAAAGAAAAATAAGGTCACATATGAAAGCACAAGGATTACAAAGGCACTGGCCTCAACAGAACTGGATTCAAGAGTAACATCTTTTGAGTTTTACAATCTCGAATTTCTATTCTTGGTTAAGCAATCATATAGGACAGAAAATATACATCTTCAAATACAAAGATAAATAAATTATATCTCATACACCATTTCTTGTGATGTTACAAGAGGCTATTTCCAGCATAACAAGGTTGCTGTCAACCCAGGAGAACAAAGGGAAACACTCCCATGCTAACAGCGGGGCAGCCAGAATGGAGAGCATCTTGTCCTCAGTGAAGCAGGAAGATCTATGGTTCTGAGACAGAGGTTTCCAAGAAAATAAACACAACTTACTGGATGAGTCTTTGGTTTAAAATAAAATTATACACATAAACATATAAAATTAAGGTAAAGACAGGAAGAAAAAAGGAACTCCATCAATTGCTGGATGGAAGGAGAGGGAGAAGCTGCTCAAGAAAGTAAAATTCAATAAACTGAAACTAAACTTATTTTTATATTGGGAAGAGAGTCAGGAAGTCAACAGATAAGCCTACACTGGATAAAGCAAGAAACTGGAGAATGATGACATTAAGAAATATGGAAGAGACCACCGAAATAAATAGCAACAAACATGAAAAGCAACTGTTTCTGGTAAGTAGGCCAAAGGTGGGGTACAGCAATATAGGCAGTTAATTTTTCTTTCTTTTTTTTTAAATTTATTTATTTGACCCAGAGAGATACAGCAAGAGAGGGAACACAAGCAGGGAGAGTGGGAGAGGGAGAAGCAGGCTTCCCGCGGAGCAGGGAGCCCGATGTGGGGCTCGATCCCAGGACCCTGAGATCAGGACCTGAGCCGAAGGCCGACGCTTAATGACTGAGCCACCCAGGTGCCCTGGCAGTTAATTTTTCTATTACATATCTTTAAGAGCTACTTGATTAAAGTACTGTACAGGTATTAACTTGATAAAAATGAGAAACAAAATACTTTAAAATACTTAGGTCACAGTGAGATTTTCTTAGCTATTTAACCAGTATTTGTCTGATTTAGTGACTTACAGTGCCTACAATGGAATCCAAGGCCTTACCCTGAAGGGATTATAAATAGCACATGCTTATTACTCTCTCAACCAATCCATAAGAATTTCAGCAATAAGATTACTCACTGTAAATTAAACCTCAAAACATACTAGATGTTTTGAGAAACTCTCAAATTCATCTAAAAGAGATGGAATGACATTAGGCTAAGAATTAACTCAGAACAGCTTAATGGCATTAATATACCTAAAGAAATACTGTTAAAAGGGGGCTTGGTCAGCAATAGAAGCACAGAAAGGGGTTATAAAGACAATGCTGGCTATGTATATTAGTCCTTATAACAAGTCTATGACATCATCTAACTCCTTGATGTGATTCCATTCTTATCAAGCACACTTCTGACATCATTATTTAATTTTCCATATAAATATGCAAATAGGGAAAGAATGCAAAGATCATAAAATGAATGTTTGGTTAATTTAATGGTTATACTTCTCATCAGTATTATTTTTATTTTATATGTAAACCTTTGTGACTTTAATTAATGCTGCCTGCTCAGAAAGATTAATTGCTGTTGATGTACTGTCAAAAATCAGGTTAATGACCTGCACAAAATTCACAAAGGGATGGCCACACTGAGGGGTCTTAGGATCCAGCAGGTCTCCCTCTTTTCTTTACACTAAAATGGGTAAAAAAACAAACAAAAACACTCTTCAGATAAACAATTGTACAAGAAAATACAAAGTTAATGCTGATTTTTTGCCACAACTCCTAACACTTGCATTTATTTATTTATTTTTTAAAAATGATTTTATTTATTTGGCAGAGAGAGAGCACAAGTAAGCAGAGAGGCAGGCAGAAGGAGAGGGAGAAGCAGGCTCTCCACTGAGCAGGGAGCCTGATGCCAGGGCTCCATCCCAGGACCCTGGGATCATGACCTGAGCTGAATCAGGCAGCCGCTTAACGACTGAGCCACCCAGGCACCCCATAACACTTGCATTTAACAAACATTTCTGGACTAAAGAGTTTGGAGAAGCAACTGCCACCAGGCAGCAAGCCAACAGGGCTACAGCACTATTTCAAGACAGCTGTGGAGTCACTGAGTTTTTCAGTATCTTCTGCTTGTTCATTTCTACTGGCATAATCAAAAATTATTTAGGAACAAAAATAATAATCTGCCCCACCCTACTCTTTGATGCCGTTTAAACAGCAAACAGAGAAAACTTACATGGCACTGTAGTTCCAAATCTAGTGGGATTCAACACTATGAACCTGTTTTTCAAGCTTCTTCGTCCCACACCTTGAGCTCCTATCAATACCAATGTTTTTCTCTGGAAGGGAGGCATTTTGGCTACCTCCTCGTATATTTGGATTTCATGACGATCAAATTCTAAATGTAAAAGGAAATGGAAAGTCATCATATTCAGTTATCTTTCAAATGGATGAAAAACTTCTGCAATTCTGTTCAATAAGGGCTTGGTTGTCTGACAGGTAAATACCACCTGAATTGTACTCATTTACTATAGATTCGCTTTTATCAATTTGGTGAAGTACAATAAACAATAAACTATTTTTTATCTTGATTTAAACATCTGCTTCCATCCATTTGCCCTTAAAAATTTGTCTAAGCTAGAAAATGCCTGTGCTTTATCATATAGTCTCTATCCATTAAAACCTTTCTTACCAATTCATCAGAAATAATTACTTTAACATATATAATCAAACTGCAAACTACCTTATGTAATTTGTTCAGCCAACTAGTGTGTATCAGATATAAAAGACAGTAGTATACCTAGTGTGGCTGCTTAAATAAGTCCCACAGAATGAGGATGCCCTTCCAATAATATAAATGAATAAATACTGTGTGTTGACTCAGCAAATACCAGTTTGATTAATAAAATGCATACAAACATACCGACAATTAAATTTTAAGATGAATTTATGTATAAAATGTTGGAACCATACTACTTTCAGTCAAAACACATTCCAAAATTAAATCTTAGTCAATGAGAAAATTATAAGTTTTCTATTTTTCAAGAAAGTGTACGAACATATATTTAATGAATAATAAGGTCAAAGGGGATTTGAAATAGTATATTACCTGTTATTAGGGTTATAACTCTAAATCTGCAGTAATAACACTCCTTCCTTAGGTTATTATCTGAACAGCAACTCTTTCTTTGCATAATTTCTCCAAAGAAGATTAAACCAATATTAAGGGAGAGTCTATTTTCCCCTTATTTTATTATTATTATTATTAAATATTATTTCCTTTATAGTATGTTATTTAGTTTATAACCAGTACAGAGGCAGCTCTGAAGTCTAGAAAGTACTCTAAAATTGTCAATTCCTTTCAGAAGGCCTTCTCAAAGAGCTGCATTTCATGCCTATCAGCCTCTAGAACTGAAAAGAATAACTATGGTAGCTGTCATATTTATCTTTCTTTAAGTCTAAAAGATTTAAGACAGAATCCTACTAGAACAGACTAAGATTTGTTTGGCCCAGTACTATTTTTCCAAAAGTATCATGGACAATGTTAAGGTAGAATATAGTTGTCCTTAATCATAACTCTTTTAGTATCTTCTGAAAGGCACTTCTTTAGAAATGATACATAAATTGTCATCAAAGTTCTCTGAATAAATATTTTTAACATTGTTCTTTCATTAATATAAGCATAAATCCTAACCAATCATTTTATTGCAAACTATACTAATAAATAAAAGACTCTGGTGACAGTATGAGTATATACAATATCAAAATTAAAATAATGTCTTCATATTATATTGTACCATGTGTTCAAGTGTCAGCCCCTTACAATTGGGTATTAATATGAATTACTTTCACTTAAAATTATATATTTAGAGTTTATGCCACATTAATTAATGATATAAAGCTACCTCACTTGGACTTTTCAAAAAGTATTTAAAACATACCTGCATTTCTGGTTGTGAGATACATCATCTTTTTCTTTTTTTTGCTACTTATGGTTCCACAAAAAGGTCCTGAAGGGTGACAAGACAAATGTAAGTTAAAACAGTATGTGAGAATATGATAAAAACTGCCCTGTGGTATTGTATAGTGGTGGGAGAATTACCTTTCCAGTGTTGTGTCCTACAAAGCAGAAGGGGGCAGAAGTGAGTTGAGCCACTAAATTCTGATACTATACCAGCAGGTGGCAGACAGGGATCAAAAAGTTTACTTTTGAGAGCGATACAACAAAGTAGACGGGATGGATTAATTTTAGATATAGTTTAAATAAATTCATTTGCTGATTCGATGAAAGAGGAAAAGAAAGGTGACCACAAAGGACTACTTGTTACACATTGTGTTGAGCTCATCACCTGAATTGTCCCAGTCTCTTCTAACAAATGCCTTTCTCTTCTCTTCCAGGAACTGGCTTGGGATGAGACCAGCGCTTCCTCCCTCTTTTACATGGCTAGCCTAGAATCAAATTAATGAATTATATATCTCAGTGATCAAAATTTGAGACCTTATCCTAATAAGTAGGACAATAGCAATAGTCAGTAGAAATATATCACATTTGCTCTTCAAAACTGACCTTGAGATTTCAATTAATGGCATCATCGGTTAAGATATTTAAACACGTTAGCACTAAGGAATCAACTGGTACCTAATCAATCTGCCATCTGGAATCAAAATTTTGGGACCAAAACGCAAAGGTATATAGGATCTTTAAATTACTACAACTTTTTATTTATAATGCTAAGTAAGTCAACAGAAAGGATAAATACTATTTTATGTGTTAAAAGAACATTTCATTAGCACCCTTAGTAAGGTATTTACTATCAACCTTAATCCTACTAGAGAGACAGAATCTGAATATCCTAAGTTTAAAATAGGTATAACTACATCTACTGTCAAGAAACTAAGTTTTGAAATCCAAAAAAGTGCTATTTCAAAATAGTGGCTAAAGAACTGGCTGCTAGTGGCTTATCCAACAAAGTTACGGTTTTTTATATTTACAGCTAGCACTGAAAAAATCTGGTATCATTTTTAGCCATTAAAATCCTAAAAAATAGAATTAAAGTAACAGATCACCAAATGCAGGAGGAGACTGAAATAATGGTGACAGGTTGAGCAGATGACATTCACAGAAAGGGGTAAAAAAAAAAAAAAAATTTCCTGGAAAAGTTCAATGAAGGAAACAGCTACAGAAAGAGTTTTTTGATGAGAGTTCTAGGAAATTCAGTGGAAACATCTGGAGATCATGGATTCTTTTTAATTCACCTATGTTTTAGTTCTCTCATTGCATAACGCACTTGTACATAATAATGTCTTAATTTAAATTTAAGGATCCATTAGGACTGTTCTTATCCTTGTTACTCATTCCCCCTTAGAAGCCAACATAACTTAAGAGAGCTAATGTGAGTTACTAATATCTCCATTTAATTTAGAGTTTAGTGCTAGGTCCTGGGTCCTTTCCTCATACACTTTTTAAAAAAATTTTTATTGTTATATGTTATATGTTAATCACCATACATTACATCTTTAGTTTTTGATGTAGTGTTCCATGATTCATTGTTTGTGCATGACACCCAGTGCTCCACGCAGAATGTGCCCTCTTTAATACCCATCACCAGGCTAACCCATCCCCCCCACCCCCTTCCCCTCTAGAACCCTGTTTGTTTCTCAGAGTCCATTGTCTCTCATGGTTCATCTCCCCCTCCAATTTACCCCCCTTCACTCCTCCCCTCCTTTTTTTTTTTTTTTTTAACATATATTGTATTATTTGTTTCAGAGGTACAGATCTGTGGTTGAACAATCTTGCACAATTCACAATGCTCACCATAGCACATACCCTCCCCAATGTCTATCACCCAGCCACCCCAATCCCTCCCACCCCCCACCATACACCTTGCTTTTTAATGAGACTCTTCTGATGGTTTAAGGGATTTTAGACTTTAGACTTTAGATTTTAGACTTTCCCATTTGTCAGTTTCTCCAGTTCTGAATACTGTGGGTATTAGACAGTGTAAACAATTACAAAATCAGACTTAATTCTGAAGGCTGTATTAGGGGAAAGGAAAAAGAACACAATTGCAGAGATCTTTAGAAAATGAAGTGGGGGAAAATACGATGATAACACACATCCCTTTCCATATATGCAGATTTCAATCCAAGAACAACTACACTAATCATAAAGCAAACCTTCATTTCTCAGTAACTGAGGGGAGGTAGGTAAACAGATTGAAGAGCTTATGAAATTATGTTTTATTTGCCATCAATGTACATAGAGGGAGAGGAGTCAAGAGAGAAAGACACTACTACACACACAGTAAAAGACTCTAGTTAAACAACAGCAAACACTGAGAAGGGATGACCCCAAGTGAGTTGTTCTTGCCCAACACCATATTGCACTACAGTCACTCATGTGGAAGAACCAACTGTTCTAATCCCTAAACCAATGGAATACCTCCACAGGCTAGTTAATTCTGCATTTATTAACAGCTACTCACAAATTCCCTCTCAATTTGATCTCCTGTCCACAAAATTAGCAGCCATGAAGCAGGAGCTGTTCATGCACGAAAAATCATCGGAACAAATGTTAATACCTTCTTCCTGAATATTCAGATATTGGCCAGATCTAAGATTGAAAATAAAAAAGGAGTTGAGGAAATTATGAGAAGCATACTAACCTGCCACCAGTTTGGATCTTCTCTGTTCACAATTTGAAGAATTTCTCCTTTTGAAAACTTCAATCCTGCTTCTTTGCAGGGTATCAGGTTATCATTGTATGGATTATAATCAAAATGACATTTCACAAACACCTAAAACACATAGCACAATTTAAAGTAGTATAGATGTATCATTTGTCACTAGATTTTTGAAATCTTTTTCAAATCACTGTGATTTAATTATAATTGACAATTTATTTAGTACTTCAACTAAGGACATTGTCCCACTCAAATAAAAATCAATTATTACACATTAATAATTTGGCATCAGAAAAGTAAATATTAGTACAATTAAAATTTTGTTTCTATTTTAATGTCTAATCTTAAACCAACAGTTTAACAATCATTTTACTCCATCATTCTTATACTTTCCCCCATCTTTTCACATGATTTTCTAACTAATGCTGCATAATTTTTATTCAATTAAATGCCACTTTCTGATTAATACCCAGCTGATTGAAGACATATATTTCAGATATAATAGGACTTTTTTGAGGGGGTACTTTTTGAAAGAGCCCAGAAACCAAAATTAAACAATGAAAGTTCATGTTCAAGTCAGATCTGAAATATATTTAGTAAAAAAAAAAAAATTTAAAAACCCAATTTTCATCACTGGTAATATATTTTTTATGATCACACAGATTTACACCGACCAAAACTTGTGTGGAAAACACTTTTCTGAAATCATCTTGCTCTGACTTAAATAATTAACATTAAATTAACTGTAAGAAAAACACTGAAAAGGCCCTGAAACTATTTTTCAATTTAAATTCACCGGACTACACAAATTTCTTTTAAATATGTTTTATTAATAAAAGTATTCCAGTTACCACTATTAGTTATCTCCAATAACTGGAATATTTTCCTTATTCACTTTAATGTAAATCCTAATACATTAAGCATTTTCAGTTTTTGAAGGCAAGTTCAGATTACTGTCTTAAAAGTTTTTTCATGCATATTTATAAAAACTCAAATTTTATCTACTGAAGAATTGACTTGGCATTAATCAGCAAGTAAACTTTAACAAGCAGAAAAGCACAAAATTAGTCAAAATAACATTGTTATCATACTTGTTATCATACTTCTATAAATGTAACCAAAGAAGATATTCAAGTAACACAAGCAGATACATAATATCATTAGTGTGGTAAAATGTAATGTGATGGATGCATATTAAAATAATTTAAAAAAACTAAGTTTGGGAACATGTGACAAAATTTTAGTTATTTACAATTAGATGATTTTGGTAGAAAGCATCTGGGATGTTATCAATAACTTTGGAAAGGCTATTATTTAAAAAATCAGTAAGCCAAATTTTTTTTGATATGCAATTTTAGAAATATCTAAAAAGCAAGCATACAAACAATATTAAGATTGCTAAAATGTGACAACTGGCTAACTTGAAAATGGCATGCAGCTCAATGTTTTGGCAATGGAAAAAGAAAACCCAAATTATTATTTATTCAAGGTAACTTTAGTTGGCTGATAAGACAGAAAAACGGAATACCAGAGAATGTCCTGGAATGACATCATACCTGACAGACGTGTGCTGGATGCCTCTCCATACTGATGCAACTCTAAAAATATATTTTTCATTGCATAAATAAAGCCAGACTTTTAAACTGATAATAAATTAACAAAATATAAACAAACTACTGGCCCATTTTATTACTTCACTCATTTGGTAAAGTAACTACTCTCCCCTCATTAATTGTCCATAGGGTATAACAACTGAAAATTATAAATGATAGAAGCAAAAAGGTAGAGGTGTTTGAGATGAGGCAGAGAAAAAGGATGGGTATGCAAAGTTTAAAAAAAATACTTGGATACTCCTTACTTCTCAAGAAAGCTGCACCAAATGAATAGTAAAAGCATCCTGTCATCTAACCAGGAACGTGTTTATCATTCTTATCTGTGGGACAACATACATTTTTGTATCCATAAGTTGAGATTTTCTGAGACAGTCTAAATTTCAAAAAATTATTCCCCTATTCCCATCAAATTGTTCTGGAAATGTCATTATTTGTGAAACAAAACACATCTCTCAATGTAAAATATTTCTAGAGGGAACAATGCTTATTATTTCATTTATTAAGCTAATTTTTGAACATTACTCTCATGCTCAAAAATTCAGATTAGCCTGGTTTTACTCTGACTTTTAAAATTCTGTCTGAAAAATCAATTAATCCAACCTTTGATCTAAAGATTTTGTAATGACCTTAAAGTCATTAGACATTTCACCAGATTAAGTATAATTATATTTTATTTTACTAAGTATATTGTAAAGTGTTTTACTAATAGACTACGGATGTTAATGGTTCATTCAGTATTAAGAAGTTATTAAACACAACCTACTAAAGTATTTCAATCTCCTATTCTTATCACTAAAAGAAAAAACTGACCGACAATCTAAAGTAGATGGAACAGAGAATGGGAAGTACAAATGGCTTTTAAACACAAGAGATATTCAACATCACTAAGAATAGAAATACGAATTAAAACTATATCATAACAATATTTTCTTCCTGCTGCATTAGGAGAAATCCAAATATCTGATAACATTCTATAGACGGGACTATGAGCCAAGAGGCATTTTCCTAACAGGCTAGTGGAGGATCTGGTTCAATCCCTTGCGAGAAAAATTTGACAATAGCTATCAAAATTACAAATGCAAAAATCTTCTCACCTACTAATCTACCTCTGGGAACGTATTAAACAGCAATGTTGCTCAGACATATGCAAAATGATTTATGTACAAGACTATTAACTACTAAATTAGTCCTAGTAGCAAAAGATTGGAAGCAACCTAATAGTTTAATAATAGGGAACTGGTTAAATAAATGATAAGTCTATATAATATAATACTATGCAGCTATTAAAAAGGGTGGGGAGGTGGTGATATGTGTCAAGAGGCAGTCTATGTACCAATAAGGAAAGATCCTAAAGATACACATTTAAGTGAAAAAAACCAAGTACTGTATATGCTATGTAAGCTTTTCACTGAAAAGGAGGTGGAACAGGAATAATAATATATAATTTTTAGTTACTTGCATATGAATAAAGAAACTCTAGAAAGATAAATTAACAGAATGGTTTCTTATAGGGAGTGAGCACTAGGTTTGTAGTGGATTATGAAAGAAATTTCAATTGAATACCTATTTATATCTCTTGAATTTTGAACCATGGGAATGATTCACCTATTTAAAAATTAAATTCTCATGGTAATAAATATAAGATAAAATGACTCATGCTTCTGACTAAGATGAACCAATAAAGAACTTTCCAACTTGAAACAACTAAAATATTGGACAAAATTTGACAAAACGTTTTTTTAAACATCAGGTAATGAAGTCAGTGATCCCTAAAAAATGGAAACAAACAAGATAAACTATTCAGTTGCCCCTGATAACTGCACTGAGAAAGTTCCCAGGTTGCAACTAAGGAAGGAAGAATCTCAGTAGAGCCTGTGTGGTCTCCAAGTTGAGGAGATGAGCTGGGCAACCAGGGAGATCAAGGTGGCTGCAGCGTACAGAACAGAGTAATCAGTGAGGAAAGGGCTGCACACTCAAGAGTTGCAGAACACTCCCTCTAGTTTTCAGGAGACTACTGATCAGTGCATGGGTATGAGGAAACTAAGTCAGGTAAAGAACCAGCATGATAAGCAGCAGTATCAGCAGGTCATACGGGGTCAGGAATAATTTCTTTTCTCAACAAGGTGAGTGGAAAAATCTCATAATTCATGAGGCACTGAGTAGTTGGAAGGATTATGCCCCAAGCTTAATCCCGCTCTGATTGTACCTAACAAAGCTTAAAAAGCAAGATCTGAAATGATCAAACTGCCCCAAGTAACTTCAGTAGCCTAGAACAAAGTTTAAGAATTTTCCAAGAATACAAAAATATCAAGCATTCCACAAGGTAAAATTCATAATGTCTAACAACAACCAATCAAAAATAACCAGGCATGCAAATAAGCAGGAAAATATAATTTAAAATGTGGAGAAAAATCAATTACGAGTGATTCAGAAATGATAAACATGATCAAATTAGTAGAGGAGGACATTAAAATAGTTACTTTAACTTTACATATTGTATTCTTAGGTTCAAGAAGCTAGAGGAAGGCCTAGGCATATTAGGTAGAAACATGGCAGATATAAAAAAAAAAAAAAAAAAGACTCCTGGGTGGCTCAGTTGGTTAAGCGACTGCCTTCGGCTCAGGTCATGATCCCGGAGTCCTGGGATCGAGTCCCACATCGGGCTCCCGGCTCAGCGGGAAGCCTGCTTCTCCCTCTGACCTTCTCCCCTCTCATGCTGTTTCTCTCTCTCTCTCTAATAAATAAATAAAATCTTTAAAAAAAAAAAAGACTCAATTTATATTTCTAGAGATGAAAACCAAAATATCTAAGATGGAAGAAGAAGTGACTAACAGATTAGACACTGAAGAAAATAAACTTGAAGATACAGCAATAGAAACTAAGATAAAAAACAGGGAAGTAACAAGATTGAAATAAATGAAGAGTATCACAGAGTAATGGGACAACTTCAAGGAGCCTAATATATGTGGAAATGATGTCACCAAAGGACAGAAGAAATGGGAAAAGAAAAATAATCTGAAGAGGTAATAGTCAAAATGTTTCCAAATTTGATGAAAGAATGCAACCCCCCCCATTCATCCGTATCTTAAACCTATACAGAAACTCATACACTAAACGGATCCTAGAGCTAGGTGTAAAGCATAAAACTGTACAACTTTTAGGAAAAAGAAATCGAAGAAAATCTTTATGACGTTAGATTATACAAAAATATTTTACACAGAACAATACAAGCATGATCTGTAAAAGAAAAACATGGAAAAGTCGGACTTCATCAAAATTAAGAACTTCTGCTCTTTGTATTACACTGTTAACAGAATGAAAAGACAAGCCTTTTCACTGTGAGAAAATCCTTATAAATCATAATTCTGATTTGTATTCAAAATAAAGAACTTTCAAAACTAAATAAAAAATCTCAATAAAAAATAGGTAAGATTTGAAGACAATCACCAAAACAGACATAAAAAAAAATAAAAACATGAAAAGATGCTCAATATTTAGTCA